CATTGTACCATTGGTTGTGAGTCATTCATAACTTCTAAATTACTAAAAAAAAATTATTTTATTTTAATCAACTTGGAAGAATAATTACAACCTAGGAAATAGGAACAAACGTTTATCAATCACAACAATTAGGGTGCATCCAACTCCACATAATTGCAAAAATAGATCTGTTCCTATTCTTAACACTTTCTATTGGTTCTCAAAAGCAACTCTGCTAAATAAATTTAAAATTAAATAAAATTTAGTGGGGGGGGGCACCAAAGTTCTGAAATTAGCAACAAGACTCTTGTGAGAACCAATAGAAAAATTTTAAGAATAGAGACAAATCTATTTTTGAACGTATAGGGAGTTGGATGCACCCTATCAACAGTTTATCAAGTACAAATTAAAAAAAGTAAAATGTAGTATCAATAAACGATTTAGGAAACACTAGCTTTGATAACAAGCATAAGCTTTTACAACAACCTAGTAAAATCACATTGTTGCCAGTTAACTCAAAAAATAACTGACAATGACGTGCAATGACATGCAAAGAATTGAGAGTTGCTCAAGTTTAATTTCAATGATATTATATTCAAATTTGTAAATATCTGGAAGATATTTACAAATCTTCCAACTACAATTAGGGATTTCAAAAATGGGGATTCCCTCTTTTTATAATATGCTAATTATATTTAATTTACCTAATAATAGATTAATCATATTTAAATGAAATTGTTTAGAATTAAAGCTAAAAGTAAAATAACTAAAAAATGTAAACACCAGAGTAAAACTTTATTACGCAAGCAACAAAGTTGTTAAAATAAAAATAGATATTATAAAAAAAAACAGTATCTAAGTGTAATATAAGAGCAACCATCTTGCAATACATAAACGTCAGTATCAATGTTTCTTCTTTAACTCTAAATGCATACAAGTGTTCAGAGTATTTATCACAAACAAGCAATTTGCCAAAAAATACCCAGTGATGTTGAAATCTTATTATATGATAAATTTTGAAAAATAATGGAATTTCTTGAGCATGTACTAAAGCTAAAAGTGCTGTATCATTAACATGGTACTTTATTCCATTACTAACAAAAGTACTACACTTCCAGACTGTTTCTTTATTATCCGTAACAATGTAACCAAAATACGAAGTCATACTCTGACGAAAAACACCCGAATTAAAAACCCGACAAAAACCAGCAACTGCATGCGACAACAGATTATCTGCTGAGATTTTTGCCAAACCTCCAAATAATTGTATTGGCTGCCCATCAACTATAACTGACACTCTGTCATTTTTTAATGTTATTAAATCCTGAATTAATGGTTTTAATGTTTCTTCGTATGTTTTATGTTTCTTAACTAATTTTTCTTTTACAAGAATACATAAATAAATATTTTGAAATCTTGAGATGTATTTTTCTTCAATATTGCCAAGATAAAAGTAAAATGCACAAATTTTGTGCACTGTTCGATGAGCACCAATAGGATTGCAAACCTCGAATTCATCAATATAAAAATGAAGTCTTAAAGCATATTTGTCATTTTTAAAAACATGATTATTGCAAATAAGACCATCTGAAGATGAATAAAGTAAATTTGTTTTATTAGAATGGTCATTTTCTAATTTTCGTTTAATAGAACTCCGTACTTCTTCTTTTTCAATTAACTTTTTAAGTAGTGGTAATATAGGAACATACTGAAAAGTTTATTTTTTTATATTTTGTTTATCACTGAAAGTTTCATTACTAATGGCATTTTCAATATTAGCAGAGTTTTTTTCAATATCATCTATACAACACAAATTTATTTCAATTGGTAAAATAAGGCCTAATTTAGACTTACTAAAAGCAATAATTTTCTTTCTAGAATTGACAAAAGATAAAGCTTAATCTAAAAGCAAATGACTGTTCAATAGTTCATCTAAATTGTCAGTGGATTCAAAGTTTTTGCATAATTGCTCTTTTAATATTGTACAGAAACTGTTATTATAATATTTTTTTTTTATTTTAATTCACCTCCTCAAGGCCGAGAAGGCCACTACAGACGAGGAGGCTACTTATTTGTGGTTATAACCCTCTCTCAACTCTATAACTCCGAAACACGAACCTTGACGAGCAAGGCCGCTGCGCGGAGAAACGAGTTGAGCGCGGTACTACCAGGGACGTGGTATAGATCAAACTCGGAACCACTCGTTTATGAAGCGAGCGCTCTACCACTACACCACTACCGCATTAGTTATATGTTAACAAAGATTGAATATGTTAACAAAGATTGAACTTCATTTGCCACATCAACTTGGACAACAGATGGTATGAAGTGTTTCTCTGCTATTCCAACAATAAACATAGCAAAATGATTCTGCAAACTGCTTAGTAACTTGTCTAATGGGGAAATAGATAAATTAGCTTGACCTGTATCTAAATTATTGTTAGCTACATCAACTTCTAAATCATCAGAGTTGTTTTTGTCAATAAAATTTTCTGAAATTTGGCTTTCCAATACTTCAAAAGTGGAAGCATTAAACTCATTTATAGTTGCTTGAGATTCATAATAAGTAGAACTATGCTTATTTTGCATGTGCTCACGTAAACATTTGACAGATTTGTAAGAAGCAGGACAGCCATCAATATTACAAACTACAACATAGGGAGCTGTATGTTCATGTATAATATGCATATGTTCTAAATACTTTTGCATTGAATATTTACAAACACCACATGTAGAACATGTAAAGCAAACAACATTTTTTAAATTTGAATTTAAAAAACTAAATTAAGTAGGAGAAAAAGAAATAATAGTTATTAAAAAGTTCATATATGACATATATATATATATATATATATATATATATATATATATATATATATATATATATATATATATATATATATATATATATTTAAATTAATTAATAACTTTGATATTATTATATTATTATATATTATATTTAATAATTAATTTAGTAGTATTAGAGTTGACTGACAAAATAATGAAAACTCTAACCAATAGTTTTATTTCTAAGTTCTGGGAGTCCTTTTACTTCTAAGTATAAACAGACTTCTTTAACGCTCCAATTCAAATAGTCTCCCATTTAATAAATGTAACAAGAGATTCTATATATGTTGATGTGTATGCTATATTATTTATATAAATATATGTATATAACAACAAATAACTTTCTTGAGGAAATCAAACCAGATTTTTTTTAAATGCTTAAAAACCCCACTTTTTCCAAATAAACAAACATGCGGATATCAAAATATCATGGCGTATTAAAAAAAATTTGAAGAACCTTAAATAAGGGTTCTTTAATCTCTTACTTTGGGGGTTCTTTTATTCTTTGTAAATAACCCGCCGGTTCTTCAAAGAACTAGTAAATAATATTTAGAACCCGCGAGTTCTTCAAAGCACCTTAAGTTTTCTCCAAGAACTTATAGGTTCTTCAAAGAACCGCGAAGAACCTTTTAGATTAACAGTGTACGGTCTTACCAAAACGTAATATCCTTTAATAGTATCTATCTATTAAATAGTAACTATCCTTTAATAGTATTTCTTAATATGCTTTATTAAAAAAAGAGTAAATTATTTATGAAAACATTACAGTATTGCATAAATTGCTTTATATTGTATATTTATACTGATACTATGATTTTAAATATTTGATGCGCGATTTAATGATCAAAGATTGTTCTTATCTTTTAAATTATACTAAAACATGAGATCGTTAAATTTGGAACGATGAATTTTGTTTTAAAACTTGTCACTAACACATTACTAATTTTTTTTTTCGCGTAATTACATTACGTAATTACAGTATTAAAAACATCAACAAACAAGTCAAAATGTTTTACTCAATTAAAATGTCATTGAAACATTTGGCAAAACGAAAAACATTCTGCACAACTATCTACAAAATCCTTCTGTATCGTTACTATCAATTTTGTTAATTTAATAATCAAGTTGATTCTGGTCTAATCTTGGTTCTTGTCATTATTCAAAGAATAGTGGTACAGTTCAAGAGACATCAAATTCATACTAAAAAGCTTGAATCAATCAATCTGCACACAGTTCCATCCCATTGAAAAATTTGGGGGATTTGGCAAAAGATATTTGCGTAAGACTGGCAAAACAATAAATACAGCTAAAGGTTTATTTTATTAATGAGAGAGTGGACATAAGTAGAAAAAAAAATGGTCAAAGACACAACGCAAAAGCTAAGGTTGTTAATTAGCGTAAATGTTTGCTTATTTATATGAAATAATGAAAAATATTAAAATAAAAATTTTAGGTTCCGTGCCCACTGGGTATCCAGTGAGCACGGGACAGTGAGACCGTAAGAAAGACGTCTTTTAAACATCTTTTGAACATTTTCGATGCCTTTTGAATGTTTTGGATGTCTTTGGGACGTTCAAAAGATGTCTTTTTTAGGTAGCATGCCCCTGGATAAAATTTGAACCAAAAACTAAAGTTTTGGGTAAATAATATATAGAAAAAAGTTTTTATTTATTTAAAATATTTTTCTTTTCAAATATATTTGGTAGTAGAGTAGTGATAGTAATAAAATAACCTTATAATCATGAGAGTCTGTAAAAAATGAATTGCTGTAATTGGTATAGTTTTGGGTTAGCAAATGTGATCAAAAAAATATTCCAAGACTTGTGATTTTTGTTCATAAAGTTCTGGAGCCGAGCCGAGCCGGAGCCGGATATTTCTTAGGAGCCGGAGTCGAGCCGTAAAAAAAACAGTCGGCTCCACAAGCCTGGTTATAATAATAATGTTTAAATTAATAATTATGTTAATTAAATTAGTTTTAATTTTACTTCTTTTTAAAACTTTAGCTGAAATTGACACCATGTTAACAAGTTGTGGGGTTGTTAAAGAGCAAAATATTGTTGACCGTCGTTTGCAAGTAAATAGAGGCAGGCAGCTCAAGATGTATCGAGTTTGGATACAATCCAAGTACAGAAAACCTAATTACAAAACTTAAAATATAAAACAACATCAAATGACTATTTAAGTTTTTTAATTCAATAAAATATAAAGCATGATGTGCATGCTTAACACGCGATCCTTTTTCCAAGAAAAAACTCAAATTTTTTGTTTTTTCTCTTCAAAGCTTTGCAGTTTCGGACTTAGTTACAAAGCTCACTTTTTTCTTAAAATTTTAAGCTTTGTAACTAAGTTCTAATCAAACTTTTGTTCATCATTATGCCATCGAAGGATGTTTTGCCAAAAATTGCGCTAAGTAGAGCCCGAGAACGTTAATAAAAAAAGTATAAATTTTACGAGTATAATTTCTAAATAATGTATTTCAATAAAGTTTTTAATCCTTGAATAAAATACCGTGTAAGTTAGAACTTATTGTTTTTTGTTTACTGTTTTTTTTTTTTTTTTTTTTTTTTTTTTCGAATGAACAATTGTTAAGCTGGCTAAGTAAGTAAGCTTTGTCATTTGTCTTTCTTAATGCTTCAGTTTTGCTAGAGCGTTGCTTCTCAAGGAAATTGTTTTCAGCAAGAGTTACGACTACTCCAGCATTGCGCTATTTTGAAAAAACTGTAATGATCATACTTTGTCCAAATTTTTACAGAGTGTTCACAATGGAAAAAACAGAATTCGCCGTACCACAGGTGTATGCGCCATCATTATTAAATTACTGCCTATGAGGGCACAGTCGACGATTAACTAAGTAAGTAGTCAACATTACGAAAAGAGGAAGTATTTCTTCACTAATTGCGTGATAAATGCACAGAACGCACTTCAGTCAAATGTAGCCTATGTAATCCTGGTAAATGCTACTAAATCTTAATGAGCAAATCAAACAATTTTTCTGCAACTTTTTGAATATTTTGTTGACCTTCAGTTGAAAAGCCAGTTTACAAATGGATAACAACAAGAGTAATCTTAACATTTCTGGTATTAAGTTAGCTAAAATATCTAATGGCGTTTGACCATCCAACAACCCATTGATTACAAACCTTTATCATAATGTTTTTTGTCCGTTTTTATAACTGCTATGAATAATTTAATGAAATCTCCAGAAATTACTGTTAAATTGGTTACAATTTATATGTCATCTTGTAGGTCAAGTTTATTACTGTACCAAAACTAAAAAGAATTTTGTTAAAAAATTAAAAAAAAAAAAAAAAAAAATTAAGATCAAACAATGCGTGACTTTTTAATAATAACCTTATGGTCAAATAAACAACGCACCTCAGTCAAAGGTACAACGTATAATCTTTGACCACTTTAACAGTATTTCAAAACGCTAAAATATGATACTTTTTAATCAAATGGAATAAGTCAAATTTATAATTTTTGCACAAAATATGAGAAAATGACACAAACTTGTTGATTGATTTAACCAAAGCATTCGATACAGTTGGCCATGAGATCTTCCTACACAAGAGAGATACATGAAGTAACAAACAACAACTTAAAACGGTTCAAGGAGTATTATGCAAGGAGTATTGTTTAATTCAGTATGTACACGCTTACAAATAACTAGTTGTGGTGTACCCCAAAGCTCAATTCTTGGACATTTACTATTTTTACTCTATATGTACGATATCTACTTAACTTTAAATATTCTTAATTTTACTTTTTTTGCTAATAAACATTTTCTTTACTCACACAAATATAAAAACAAAATTTTCTACAGTTAATCATAAGCTGCAAAACTTAAATGAGTGGTTCAAAGCTAATAAACCTTTTTAAAACAACCTCAAGACCAAATATATTTTAGTTCTCAAACCATCTAACTCTGTTAACTTACCACAACCCAGCTTCCCCAGCTTATAATCAACAACATTAATATAGAAAGAAACTATTCAATAAAAATCCTGGGAATAACTTTGAAGAAAATTTAACTCTGTTAACTTACCACAACCCAGCTTCCCCAGCTTATAATCAACAACATTAATATAGAAAGAAACCATTCAATGAAAATTCTGGGAATAACTTTGAAGAAAATCTTAGTTGGAAGAATCATATTTTGCACATCGAAATTAAAACCTCCATTTCAATCGGCATCATGCATAAAAACACCTTTTAAAAAAAACTTGCTTGAAAAATTTATATTATTCGTTCATTCACAGTTATATCTACTATTGCAATATCGTTTGGGCAAGCACATACTCTTCAGTACTATAGAAAATATACGTAAAACAAAAGCAAACGTGTTGAATTATATGCAATGCTAACAGATATGCCCACGCCAAACCATTATTCCCGGAAATTGGTGCTCTAAATATTTATAAACTAAGCCTCCTCAATCGCAAAACAATTTGTTACCAAAATACTTTGAAAATCGATTTTCCACCATTTATCGCAAATACCCAACGAAGTGCTCTTTTCACAACTTTAAAATTCCTAAGACTTTACTTAAAATAACTGATTTCTCTACCTTATCTCGAGGACTGTGGCTATGGAATTCAATCCTTAAAGAGGAAATAAAAAACATGAAGTCATTAAATCTCTTTAAAACTGTCAAACAGCACCTATTTAACTTAAGTGGCGTCAACTTACTCTCTTATTTTTAAAGATCAAATTAATAATAACTAACTAAAAATAATGTATCCCTTTTAGATGACTGCAAACAATGATTATATTACAATATAAATAGTTTTTCTTTTCTATATTCTACAAGGCTGACGACACCAGGGCACCCCACTTCAAAACCCGTGTCGTCGGCCCTCTTCTATCAGATCGTTACTTATAAGACTTTGTTTTTAATATTTAGTTTTTACTTTATTTCTATTTATAAATTTTTATGTCATGTTAATCTCACGTGTTTTAATGTCATGTTAATCTCACGTGTTTTATGTCATGTTAATCTCACGTGTTTTATGTCATGTTAATCTCACGTGAAACTTATTGCAAAGTTGCAGATGAAAGGGGCTTGATGATAAGACTGTAGTCTTCTACTTGCTCCTGTCATTATTTTAATTTTTATCTTATTTATAAATGTATACATATAAATATAATTGTATTTATAAATGTATTAAAGTTAATTGTTTGTAAAATATATAGTGACGAAATAAATTACAAAAAAAAAAAAACTTTGAATGGTTAAAATTTAAAAGCAAAAAGTGGTCAGAGATACAATAAATTAAACCCAGTTTTTAGTATTCTTATCATCACAATGATGATATTTTTTTATATTCAAATATTTTTTCTTTTAATCAAGTTTATTTTCATAATTGCTATTATTTTTATAATAATTCTTCTTTTTATGATTGTATTACTATTTAACTATTTTCATTATTATTAAATTTGATAGGTATTACTTTAGATACTTCAGATTGAATTTAGTTTTTATTTTGTAAGCGCTCATTTTTATCGACTAAATACTTTAAATGAAAAAGAAAAAAACTTTAAATGACAAATCTTGACAAAAAATTTATTTATTATACTAAAGGTCTGTTTATTATATTAAAAGCACGGTAGAGGAGACCCGGGCTAGTTGACAGCAGGGGTTAACGAAGAGCCTTCTATCAGAAATTTTCTTAGGGGACTATTTCATCCGTCATTGTAGTATTATGGGGTTCGCAAATGCGCATAACAGTTATTACAACTTATATGTTTTTTTCATATTTTTGTAATTTTTACAACTTTATTATTTTTTTAATTTGTTAAAGCAAGTAAACTTAAATTAATTTATCATGGTCACTCAAATTTGTCCAACTTTTTTTTTTTTTTTTTTTTTTTTTTTTATGCAAAATAATGAGTAGATCATGCGAAACTATAAAAGAAAAACAGACTGGACTTAGACTCTTAAAAATCTTATTAAAAAATTTATTTATTTATTAGAAGGAAGCTTAATACGAACGGCAGCCGATAGGAATGGCTCTTTTATTTACTTTTTTTTTTACTTTATACGAGTAAGTTAATTTTTATCAAAAAGTAAATTACATAAGTAATTTTAAACAAAAATTTTTATGTAAATTTACATTTCCGTATAAGTAATTTTTTTGAAACGATTTTTACTTTATAATGTAAGTTTTTTTACTTTTAAAAGTAAGTTATGTAAAAGAAGATTACATCAAAAAATGATTTACTTTTACAAGTAAAAGTAAAAAAGCTCATTTACAAGTTAATTGCTTTTGAAAAGTTTTAATTTAATTACTTTTGAAAATTACATTACATAATATAAAAGTTCCTCAAACATAATATAAAAACTCAAACTAATTTACATTTACCTATTAAAGTAACTAATTAAAAAAAATTATATTAAAAAGTGAATTACATAAGTAATTTGCTACCAAATGTAAACTAAATTTACAAATAAAATGATATTTTTAACTAGGAATTTTTTATATTAAAAGTAATAACAAATCTTTATTAAAAATAAATTATAGAAAATAAAATTTAAATTACATAAGCTTGCATTTTATATAATTTGTAAAGTAAATTAAAAGTAATTTATATAAAGTTAGTAAATAAATTTACTTATATTTTACAATAACTTTGACAGGATCTTGTACAAAAGTAATGCAAAAAAGTAAAACTTTAAGGCACTAACATTTAGTTTGCCGCAACATTTGATTTGCGCGGATGTAGGTATTTCTTCCCTGTAAAATTTGAAAATATCATTAATAAGTTTCCGCCCATGATTTAAACCTTCTCTAGTTCCGGTCCATGATAGCCATAGTTATAATAACCATTCTCTGAATCAAACCGTCTCAAAAATAATCACTCTCTGGCCAGCCAAGCGAAAGGTCTGAGTTAGGACAAAGCTGAAACAAGGCAGTTAGCATAAGGCGCATGCACCCATGGGAGACTTAGAAAGAGCAGCTTGTTTGAAAGGAAAATAATTGACATAATTGTTTGTTCTTTTAAACAAGTTTTTTGCGTAATTGTATTTATTATTTAAAAACTAAGGCGAGAAAGTTTAAACCTGCCCTGAATTATGGGGACTATAACACCATGCCCTAAAGATTAAGGAGAACCGAACTTTTTAAGAGGGCGAATTATTTTGTAAAGATTTTTTGCCACTTTGATACGAAAAATG